ATAGCTTTTTGATTTGTCATTTTTAGGAAGTCACCCTCAGTAGCAGGGTCATTAATAATTTTCTCAAAAATCGCGCACATATGAAACAGAACGTCTTTAACAATTTCTGTAGGAACCTTTAAACCGCCACGTTGTAGACAATCAAAGTATTCGTCGTCAATTCGGTTTCCCTTACTCTCAACAAGAAAAGAAACACAGATGTTACAATTATTATATTATTTACGATTTTGTGGGCAGCATGACCGGCTTAGAAATTTGTACTGATTTGTTAATTTGATATTCATTTAGGTATTCACTTTCAAGTAAAAACAAACATTTTTCAGTGTAATTATTTTGAAGCATTGTCCAATCAAGATTATTTTCCTGGATGCAGCTGTCTCCCTGTTTTTTAATCTCAGCTAAAGAGAAATTACCATCAGCAGCGTTTCTAAAACGTCTCTTAAGCTGGAAGAGCAAAGTCAGCAGAATCGAAAATCAATACATGGAACATTAAAGGCTTATTAAATGCCCCGATGAGAAATTTAAAGCTCCTTAATTTTTCGCGAAAATTACTGTTCTGCTAGCTTTAACTTAAGCTAGCAGAACATGAGGAAAAAAGTGGCTAAAATAACGAAAATTGCAATTCCACTTGCACAGACAATAAAGGCTCATTGAAGGCTCTGAAAATACACCAATCGTGAATTTCAGGCTCAATTACTTTTTTTGTGAAAATGCAAAAAGCGCGAAGCAAAGGTGATGTTGGCCAAGCACGGCAGAAAAATCTCTCAGACGGTAAAAATCAGTGTTCCGATAGTGCAGTCGTAGTGAATACATTAAAGGCTAATTAAATGCTGTAATGAGAAATTTCAGGCTCCGCCAATTTTCGAGAAAATTGCTATTTTGCTACCTTTAACCTAAGTCAGCAGAACATGGGCGAAAAAGTGGCTAAAACAAGGAAAATTCAATTCCACATGCACTGACATTAAAGGCTCTGGAAATACACTAATCGCGAATTTCAGGCTCAATTACTTTTTTGTGAAAATGCGAAAAGTGGCGCTATGTGAGTAATGTGGGCAGAGCATGGCGGAAAAACCTGTCAGACAGTGAAAATCAGTGTTCCGATAGTGCAGTCGTTGTGAATATACATCAAAGGCTAATTAAATGCTGTAATGAGAAATTTTAGGCTCTGCTAGTTTCCGCGAAAATGGCTATTCTGCTAGTTTTAACCTAAGCCAGCAGAACCTGAACAAGCAAAAAAATGGCTAAAACGATAGAAATTGCAATTCCATTGCACAGACATTCAAGGCTCATTAGAGGCTCTGGAAATACACTAATCGCGAAGTTCAGTTTCTAAACTTACCAATAATAACCTAGTTAGCTTGGATACTTTGCAATTTTAATCAGACTTTTCCAAACTCATTAAATTAAAGAAGTAATTGAGCCTGTTTGCGATTGGTGCATTTCCGGAGCCTTCAATGTCTGTGCAAGTGGAATTGCGATTTTCGTTGTTTTGACCACTTTTTTGCTCATGTTCTGCTGGCTAAGGTGAAAGCCAGCAGAATAGCCATGAAATTGGCGGAGCCTAAAATTTCTTATAACAGCATTTAATTAGCCTTTAATGTATTTATTCGCTACGACTGCACTATCGGAACACTGATTTTTACCGTCTGAGAGGTTTTTCTGCCATGCTTGGCCGATATCACCCACGCTTCGCGCTTTTTGCATTTTCACAAAAAAAAAGTGGTTGAGCCTGAAATTTGGGATTGGTGTATTTCCAGAGCCTTTTATGTCTGTGCAAGTGGAATTGCAATTTTCGTTGTTTTAGCCACTTTTTCGCTCATGTTCTGCTGGTTTAAGTTGAAGCTAGCAGAACAGTCATTTTCGCGAAAATCCAAGGAGCCTAAAATTTCTCATTAGGGCATTTAATTAGCCTTTAATGAGCCTTTAATGTTCCATGTATTGATTTTCGATTCTGCTGACTTTGCTCTTCTAGCTTAAGAGATGTCGTTTCTAAATATATGTTTGAGTATAATTTTTTTCTCTGCATTTAAAATATCATCAAAGCTAACATTGTAATTACAACCTCCGAGAAGTCTGTAATTACCAAATCTTTTTTTTAATTTTTCATTTGTAAATTTACCTGATAAAATATATAACAAATCGAGTAACAAATCAAATTTTGAAAATGAATATTCAATTATTTCTAGTAAAACCAGCTGTACTATGGTAAAGTGCAGAATATGTATCGTTTGAAAGACGACCATTATTGTTTTCAAGTATATGCCAAGCTTCAACCCAGGTAACAAATTTTCTTAGAAAATTAACAGAGAAATGATCAATATTAGAGATGGGATCCCAATACTAGTTTCTTTTAATTTTACCCCTCAAAATACTAGTATTACTGACAATATCCCGCCAATGTCTGATAACTTCAAGAAAAGATGCTGTGTCTTTAAAACCAAAGTCATTTGAAGCAGCGATTGTTGAAAAATTACATATATTATCCGCAATAAAAACTTTTTGACGCTCAAATTTGTTGGGATAAACTGTTTTATGGTTAAGTTTAAAAGCTTTTTTTACAACGAGGTCCTTTTCCTGCTCATACATACACTTAACATCATTATATTTTGCATGCCTTATCACATCAAAATAGTCAAAATCTGGATAAAAAAAGGTTTTTTCTAAGTTTTTTAAGTTTCGCCAGTTATATGTTTTTAAATAAATGCACAAAATCAAAGCTAATTAGTGAATATTTTGCTTTCTGGTAGATCAGGGTTGGGAAAAGATGTTAAATTTTTGCTTGTTAGATTAGAAAACATGAATCGGTCAATTCTGTGGTTGTCAGTTATGATATCTAGTTCTTGAAACCCATTTTTTTTTGGATTAATGAAATTAAATTTTTAGTAATAGGAACTATTTCGTCAACTTTTATATTGTGAACTGATAGTAGCTTGACTATTTCAGAAAAGTTTCCAAAAGAAGAAACTATCATAAACGCGAGAACCGTAGTGGCCAAAGAACTGTCATTCGAAGCTACACCAAGTTGGTAAGTTTATATAACCTCTCATCAAATCATAGGGGCAAGGAGAAATAGTATATAACACAAATGACATTATTATTCCACTTGAGTAGTGTTTCTTTTTTAAAACCAGCAAGTTTAACTGATCAACCAAAAGTGCCAATATGCTATAAATATCATCATATTCATTTGACTCATAGTGTCCAGACTCGTGTTCAGATGGAATAAAATTCAATCCTTTTTTAAGTTCTTCAATCTCTTTGTTAAGAAATGTTAGGTAACTTTGAGGATTAGTCATCGATTCTGAACCTTTATTTTTATAACGAGAAAGTAAATTTTCTAGTTGAGACCATCAGGTTAATTTCATGTGGTTTCAATGGGTTTTACCAATAGGTAAAACCCATTTTAGGTCATTAAAAGAGAGTTCATTATTATTTAAAAAAACCTCGAAAAAAACACTTATTTGCATATCTGAACCTACTGAAATCTGATTACCAATATTTACGCAGTTCATTTGTGAAACCGAAGGAAAATCTAGCGTATAAAAAAACATTTAGAGTCTTTTACAATTTTAATATTCCAAGATTCATTTAAAATAATCTTATTTTTAAAATTTGAAGTCAAATCATCAAAGTTTATAATTAGGTCGGAATTTTCAAAAGCTGGATTTAATTGGTCACTTCGATCCTGCATTACCTTGGTTCTTTCAGCAGGACTTTTTCGGGGAACAGGGACTGTTTTTGACAAGTAATGTGATAAATTTGGAATAATACTTGGCACTGAATTTAACTTTAGTCTACTTTTAGTAGGTACCTTTTGCATTGACCCATCTGGCAAGCGATAATCATCCTCTCTAATAATGTCACTTTCTACAAAATGCTTAGCGCAAACCACAGAATATTTTGAGGGTGACCATGCCTGTCTAGGAATATTCGTAAGCCATTGGGCTTCAAGGTTTTTGTCCTTTGGAAAGGTAAAAACAGATACCTCTGGTTCTCCTGCATCAAGACAAGTTTTATAATTGGATTGGATTTGCACCACCACAAAATTTCAAGTTCATTCGCCGCCATTTACTTTGAAGAAAGCACTTTATAACACCGGCACTTTTCACCCGCGGATATATCTGTTTTTACGCAATGTCTGCGGAAAAAAACTGTCCCGGTCACTTACAAATCTCACACAGTAAGACTTTTTACAGGTTTAGTCTTCCACTTAACAATATTTTCTTTAAAAAAAAATGATTTATTTACTAAAACACAACAGAGTAACAGGTCCTTGAACGTAAATCATATGACTAAATGTGTCGATCGATCTGAAACTATAGTTGCCAGCTTTTTACGACTTGTTAAGTGGAGTCGGGCTGTGGTAATATTGTATTTTTTTTTTTTGAGGGCGTTCTGAAATATTAGGCCGTTTCCATACATAACGACAACCCTGTATAATAACATTTGAATCAAAATTATTCATCATATCTTTTAGTTACCATAAACCTATTTTTTCATCTTTAGAGTATGATCCACAGGAAGACCAATCTGGCTGGGGGCAATGAAAATGGAACACAAAAAAATACCTGTATTTCATAATAATAATCTCGACTAATTGAAGTTTTCACTTCTGTCGCGTGGTCTTAAGCATACACCATTTTTTTGGTCTAACATTCTTGCGAGAATTTTTGTTTTGAGAAATAACGCAAGTTTGTGAAAATTTGTCAGGTTCAACTGGTTCAAGAGGGATACGCGATCATTAAAAAAATTATTAGTGTTATTTTGCATTATGTATTTGTAAAGCAAAAATTCTTCATGAAATCTAAATTTGCGTGATTACCTACTTCTAAGCATACTACTTAGTACTTATAAACTTTATGTCAATGCAGGCAACCTCCTCCAAGGCTCTGTCTACTCAAACTATCCACTGCCTTCACTGTTTAATTTAACCAACATGTTTTAAGTAACCAATAGTTGTTTGAAGCAGTCAAATTTTCAGATATCATTCCTAATTCACGATGGAGACGCAAATAGAAATGCTCGTGGAAATGGCTTCAAAAACTTTGCAACCCTACAAAGATTTGGTAACTGATTTAGCGTGGACTGTAACTATTCTCCATCTTTTCGCAGGGATAATTGTTTGCATAAATATTAGCAGACATGGAAGCACCAGAGGATTTACTTCAACTCCGTTTATTGGCGCTACAGCAATGTAAGTAACTTAAAATTAATTGATGATTTTTGATAATGTTTTTATAATTGTTTTAGTGCTATTCTTTTCCTACAATATGGCTTGATTTTAGAACAGCGAACATTGCGAACAATGATTCTAATGAGTCTTGCAGCAGTTTTTTTGAACGTATTGTATACGGTTTTTTTTCTACATAAAATCTGAGGATGCAAAGAATGAAGTATTGAAACCAATCGCATGTGCTGTGGCACTGGTTGCAGTACTTCTTGCATATGTTCGCTCTGATCCTTCTGATGATGTAGAGGATAATGTTGCAGTTCGTATGTTCGGCTTTAGTTTAACTGGATTAATGTTATTTTTGCTGGGAATGCCTTTGTCGAACTTGGTAAGTGTGGTGCAAAAAATAATTAAAATTTCAAAGTTATCAAAGTCCTGAAAAAATAGAACATGTACAGGGTGTTTTCCCATTAATTCACATCCCATTTGCAGCCTTCACCTTTATAGGTGGAAGAGAGTTGTGAATACAAAAGCTGTTTAGTTTTAGCTGAATTTTTAAAATCCATGGCCAGAAAAAAACTGAATGTCATAAATGTAGAATTGCGCACACTTTCCCCTTTGGATGAAATGCCCTATTTGTACGAGGTTTTATATTCTTGAAGAGCACAACGATTGCAGTAATATGTTATTATATAGTTTGCCTATATTTGGTTGAGCCGTCTTCAATATATTTGGCTCAAAAAAATGGATAAATACCTACTATCAGAGAAACCTACTGCCTCAAATTTTACCTGAAGCCTTCACCTTGACAGGAAGAACGGTTCACAAAATCTAAGGAAGTACATTTTTCTGATAGCATTTTTTTAAATTTTAAGAGCTGGCTCAGGCTCATACAAATATAGACAAATTTTTCAAGAATATAGAACCACATATTATAGGGCATTCAATTTTTGTTTATGGTGATGAATTCATCATAAACACAACAACTTTTGTATTTATACCTTTCTTCTACCTGCAAAGGTAAAGGCTCCAAGGATGTCAATACATGAGGAAACACCCTGTACAAACTAGTTTTATATCTGGAAATATTAGTTCAAGGAATGTTGGGATAACAGTTTCAAATAATGTAAATCAGCATCTATCAATGCAGTTTTCAAACTGATTTTTGAGAATCAATGATTTGCCAGTCAAAATTTGTAATAACATATTACATTTTGTTTACAGGAAGAAATAATTCGTAGGAAAGATGCTTCCATTATTTCATTTCCATTGACCTTTTCCAATGCAATGGTAACATTTTTTTGGTTTTTGCACTCAGTAATTGTGCGCGATATCTTTATGATTGTAAGTACCTACTAACATATTTCAACTTGGTAAATGTACAAGCATAATTTTTTTTTCAGGTGCCATATGGCATTGGTTTTCTTCTGTGCTTTTTCCAGCTTGTTCTAATTGTTCTCTACCGTCCATGAATTGGGGAAGTGTTTTAAATGCTGTTGAAAAAACGCAGCAATATGTTTTACTTTAGTTTTGCATCGTAAATCTCAAGTTTTAGGACGGGCCAAAATGAACAACAAGACGTGGGATTTTCAAGTGACGTTTATTGACAAGGTTGACAAGTCGTCGATTGGCAATTGACTGGTGTGAAGATAGGCACCAAGCCATAACAAATGGCACTCAGCCATGACATCTCCCTTTTTTCAAAGTTTGTAATAATTGTAATTACATTTTAAAATCTCTCACTTAATATCTATAACAAGTCACATAATTGTTTGTACAATTTTAAAAATTAAAGTACTTATGATATAAATACAGTGTTCGATAAATGCTTATAATTACATAACTCAATACATTATTATTTTTTCATTTTCAATTACCTATATATGCATCTGTATGCGAATACAATCTTGAAAAAGTACAGAACTGCTATTATTGGATTGTTCCTAAATAACACTTCTTACATTTCTATAAAGTCACATTTTCAATTTACTCTCCTTTCCTCTCCCCAAAAAGATGTTTTTTTTTTTTTTGTTGTTACACAAAAAATTGTAAAATTTACTACATTTCACAAACATACATTAAACTTGATTGTCCCACAGTAACATCATATGCCAGTTTCTAATTAGAACGGTTTAGACAGACCAATTAAGTATTAAGAAAATATCCCATTTTGTACACCAGTACCTAATTTCACAATATTAATGGATTTTTGAAAATAATTTGACAATATGTTTTGTTAAATAACAATTCTTTGACTTGACTTGCTGCGGCTATCAATATCTCCTAAGACAACAAAATCTGAAAATTTAGAAGGTTTTTTTAAAGTTCTTCCGGAACGAGAAGTTCCAGTGGAAAGAAAAGCATTTTTCGATGTTTCTTCCTGGTCAATTTTTTTACAAAGATATTTATAATTTGTCAAATTTGCTGTGTCTTGACCGACAGCAGTCTTGTCAGAAATTGTTGATGCCCATTTAGCTCTAGCTCAACATAATCAGATACTTCACTTGTATTATTTCCTGTTTCAGGTTTGTCATAAACACTAATGCTACTTTTATCATTGCTGTCATTTGCCATCCTGCCCTCAGTCCCAAAAAGTTCCTCCGTCTGATCGTTCTCTCTTACTATGACATATTTTTTGCTAAACTGTTGTTTTGTTGTGTTTTGTTCAGAAACCGATGGAACCTTTTGCTGCTGGGCTATATTATTTTTATTATCAAGAAAACTGCAACCCTTAATGAATTTTCTATTCCTAATGAGAACCGAACCACGATCAAGCTTCAATTTATATGCCCTAGTACCCACTCTTTTTATGACCCTAGCATCTGTCCAAATGTCGCCTGCTTTGAGCTGGACTTTAACACGAGAATTATTTTTTAAAGCTGATAGTGGTTTTGCTCGTTTGTCATAAATCTGTTTTTGTTTTTGCTTAGACTGATCTATGAAGTTATGATAAAATTGTCTGTTAAAACTGCCTTTGATAATTTTTTTATTAACATTTGGCAACAAATCTCTAAGCTGTCTATTATACAAAATTATAGCAGGAAAGTGCCTTCCATCTATTGGTGTGTTTCTTAAGTTTAGTAGAGCAAGGTAAGGATCTTGATTGTCAAAAATTGCCTTTTTCAGCGTTTTTTTAATTATTTGAACATACATTTCGACTTGTCCATTGCTCTGTGGGTAACGTGGAGAGGATACAATGTGTTTAAACTCTCATTGGATGGAAAACTCTCTGAATTTATGATTTGAAAATTCTGGACCGTTGCCCGACATGGTATGCCTTGCCTAGAAAAAACTGATTTTAGATTTCTAGTTACATTTTTAGCCGTTAAATCTCGCCTTAGGTTAATTACCTCGAAAAACTTGCTGTAAAAGTCTACTATAATTAAATAAACCTGACCTGATAAGTGATACAAATCACAAGCAATCTTTGCCCAAGGCAATTTTTCAACTTCATGAGGAATCATGGGCTCTGGCTGTTGAGAATTTGAGAAAGTTAAACCGGTGTTGCAAGCCAAAACCATGTCCTGAATTTGCTTATTCATTCCTGGCCAGTAAAAGGACAGATTTGCTCTTTCAGTAGTTCTTTTAATGCCCTGTTGACTGTTGCGATGCAATTTATTTAAGATTTCTCTTTGCAAGGTGTATGGAACAATCAATCTTGTATCTCTATACAGCAAACCCTTACTTTCAGTAATTTCATGCTTAAATTTATAGAAAATTTTAATGTTTTCAGGCACCCTATCAATTTTATTAGGCCACCCTTCAAGTATTTGTGTCTTCAAAAGTTGTAAAACGCAATCTTTCTCAGTCTCCCTCAATATTTCCTCTCTCTTTTCCTTGGTATTATTTAAATTCATTTCAATGAGACACACCTGCGACTCCATCTCTAGGTCTATGTTTTCCTCAAATTTTTTATTCTCATAGGCTCTGGAAAGGGCATCTGCAAGCACTAATTTTTTCCCAGGTTTGTAAACCAAGTCAAAATCGTACTTCCGCAACTGCACCATTATTCTCTGAAGCCTAGGAGGGCAGGAATTTCTAGGTTTTTTATTAATACTTATAAGAGGCTTGTGGTCAGTCTCTACAGTAAAACGTCTTGAAAAGAGAACAAACTGAGAAAAATGCGTCACACCGAACCAAAACGCCAGCAACTCTTTCGCAATTTGCGAATAGCGAGTTTGTGTTTCAGTGAATGCACGTGATGCGTGAGCACAAGGTAGATCTTCTTGCAAAAGCACAGCACCCATGCCACTCTTGGAACTATCTACTGAGATAGTTACTCTTTTATTGATATCAAAATACTTTAAACAAGGACTTTCACAAAAGACATTTTTCAGTTCTATGAAGGCTCTTTTCTTGCGTCTCCCCCCATTGGAAATGCACGTCTTTTTTAATTAACAACCTAAGCGGCGCGGTTCTTTCACTCAAATTTGGGATGAAGCGACCCAAATAAGTCAGAACACCCAGAAACCTTTGGATGCCTGTTACGTCCTCTGGACGAGGCATATTTTTCAAAGCCTCCACCTTCGCCTCTTCAGGTTTAAGACCTTCTTTTGATATCTTAATTCCCATATATTTAACTTCTTCTAGACCAAACTTGCATTTGTCCCTATTAAATCTCAAATTATATTTTTCAGCCCTCTTTAAAACCTCCCCTAACTTATTATTATGGTCCCTTATATTTTGAGCACCAATTATTAGGTCATCAATAAATATTTTCACCCCCTTTATGCCCCCAAAGATCTCTTGCATGTGCTCTTGAAACACTTCTGGAGCGCTATTTAGCCCATAAGGTAAAAGTTTAAATCGATACCCCCCAAAAATAGACGAAAAAGTGCAAATTTTTGAGCTTTCCCTATCTAAGGGTACCTGCAAAAAAACCTTGTGTGCAATCGAGAGTGCTAAAAATCTGACAGTCAGCAAACTCTTCTGTCAGAGTCTCAAGGGTGGGAAGCTTTAAATAATGTCTTTTTACATAGATATTAAGATCTTTTGGATCCATGCATAGTCTAAGTTGGCCTGTCTTTTTTCGTACAATTACCATTGGGTGGACCCACTCCGCACCATCAGTAGCTTTTTTTATGATTTTGTCCTGTTCCAATTTGTCCAACGCTTTTTTAAGGTCTTGCCTTATGGCAAAAGGTACTGTTCTAGTAGCATGAACTTGCTACTTGCTTTGCATTGTCCTTCAGTTCAATTTTATATGGTCTGTCAAGGCAACCGATGCCCTTGAAAAGATGTTTATATTTACTTAAAACAAGAGAAGTGCTGTCGGATGGCTCAATGTTGTTAATTCTCTAAATTAAATTTAATTGAATACAAGAATCTAAACCCAAAATAGGACTACTGTCCGTTTTAACCACAAAAAATATCAGATTAAAATTTTGTTTTTTATATTTTACATGTAAGCAATGTAATATTCCGAGAAAATAGACCCATAAATCAAAATGTCTTTACTGTAAAAAATTAAATAATATCAATAATCAAAAACTGAATTTCCGGTATTTCCAAATCAGTATCGATAAATTGAAAATGAAACAAACTGTAAGTACTGAGTGGTTAATAATTTTCTGACTTTTATCAATGATTCTGAATGATAAGAAGTGAACTAACAAATGACTTTTAATGCCTAAAAACTTGAGTGATTTTTATTAGAAAAACTTTTTGACTTTATAATTAACTGTGGAACTTTATTGCATAAATATTAATAACTCGAGTGTTTTATAAATGGAACATTATTGCATAACTTTAATTGCCTTCAGATATAATGACATTCTAATTTAATTTTGCACCAACAATATGAAAGGAATTTATAATGCACTTAACATAACATAATAAGTATCGATTTGAGTAGGGATTATTAAAGAATTTTGAATTGGATGGTCCAATTGAAGTTTAAGGGCTATAGTAACGAACTAATAAGAATTTAAATAATTTTGTATGTTAGCTAGGATTGCGAAAATAGTTAATGTTCTAATTAAATGGAATATGAAATTTTTGAAAAGAAAATTGAGGTGCATGAAATAGAATTGTTGTCTTAAAATCTTGGAAAGTTGTTAAAGGAAACTTATAATAAGAATTTGTTCTGATTAAATAAACTATTGAATGGAATAGGAAATTTTGAAAAGAAACTTGATGTTCATGAAATAGAATTGTCTTGAAATATTGGATAGTTGTTGTTCATGAAATGAATTTTGAATTAGGGTTTTTATTTTTCAAGTAGAAATTATTGTAAGGTTTTATAAGAATAAGTTAGTAATACCTATATTGATAAACAAATAGGTAATTATTTTGGGTTTTTCATAAGCAGTCAGTAAAGGACTTAGAAATGTTAAAGAATTTAGAGAAATAGGTGAAGGGTAGTTGATAGGAATGAATCGGAAGTGTTGAAATGAGTTAACTTATAAGTTATCAGGAATAGTAGGAATAGGGCGTTTCTTATTTAGTAGGGATATTTCAGTGGTCCGTAATA